ACCAGGGGCACCCGGCGGGCCCTCGGGGGGCCCCAGGGGGCCCCAGGGGGCCCTTAAGGGGCCCCAGGGGGCCCTTAGGGGGCCCTTAGGGGGCCCCAGGGGGCCCTTAGGGGGCCCTTAGGGGGCCCCAGGGGGCCCCAGGGGGCCCCAGGGGGCCCCAGGGGGCCCCAGGGGATCATAGGGGGCCCTAGGGGGCCTCAGGGGGCCCCAGGGGGCCCCCTTAATTTCGAGGGGGCAGGGCCCTCGCTGGGGGGCCCCCAGGGGCCCCCAGGGGGCCCCCAGGGGGCCCCTGCTGGAGCCTCTAAAGGGCCCCCCAGGGGCCCCCAGGGTATTTTAAAGGGTTTATTAGCAAGGGGGGCCCCCCGGGGATTTACCTGCTCTTCAACTTCTTGAGAAACTCCGCCAATGAAGAAGCGAAGCTGGCGGGGGGCCTTGGGCCTCCCCGGCTCTTCTTCTGGGTGCAGCAGCAAACCCGCAGCAGCAGCAGCAGCAGCAGCAGCAAAGAGGCAGCAGCAGCAGCAGCAAGCACCAGCAGCACAGGCAGCAAGGCATAGGGCTCAGCTGCGCGAGGGTCCAGCGCTAACTAGAACTTGCTGCTGCTGCTGCTGCAGATGCAGCTTTCTAAATTCTCTGCAGCAGTTCGTGCAAGTTATTTATTTGAAGAGTTTAGTTTTTCAATTAATTCCAACTGGCAAAATATCTCTGCACAAAAGCTTTCTAAATTGTTTTTGCTGCTGCTGCTGCTGCTGCTGCATGCATGCATTTGCTGCTACCTGAAGACGAAGGGCGCTGGCTCTCTGAGCTCTCCGGGGGGGCTGCAGCTGCTGCTGCTTCAGCAGCTGCTGCTGCTGCTGCTTCAGCAGCAGCAGCAGCAGCAGTAGCAGAGGGCCCCGGATCGGCTGCTGCGGAGCCGCAGGAGGCCCCTAAGTCTTCTGAATTGTCTTCTGATGGATTGGCTGTGTTGGGCTGGGGCGAGAGCGCTGCTGCGTGCGCCATCTGCTGCTGCTGCTGCTGCTCTCCTGCTGCTTCTCGGCGCTGCGGGCTGCGCTGCGGCCGCGGATCCTCTGTGCTGCTGTCGCCTTACGGGGCCAAAGGAGGCTTATTAAACTGCTAATTGTAATTGTGGAATGGAAGAAATGAAATAAAAAGGGGGAAACGACCGGGGGCGGCCTCAGGTGTACAGACACTCGTCGATCCTGCAGGCCTGCAGGCGGCGCACCAACGGCTCCGCGGCGGGCTGGGGCTCTGCAGGGGCTTTCCTGAAGACTCTAAAGACTTTGAAAAGTAACACAAATGCTATTTGCATTTCAGATTGAAATAAAAGGTGGACTTTGCATGCATGGCTCACAAGCGGGCTTCGGGCTAGACAGCCCGCGCCGTGGGACAGGCGGCAGCAGCCACTGCGTGCAGATCTGCTGCGGAACATATGGATATTCCCCTTTATTGAGCCTTAAAAGACTAATAAATCTAATTAATTAGCAAACTTTCAGCTAAAAATATGAATTTATTTCTCTTAAAACCCAGATCATTCCAAGTTTCAGACAGCAGCGCTGCAGTGGCTGAGTCGACCAACCCTGCCGCAAGGCCACACAGACAGTCGGCGCCGCCAACTCGCCGCAACTCTCCACTAAAATATTCTAAAAAGAAAAATAAACATTTTTAAAACAGTTTTATTTGTTATATTTGCCTTCTTATGGTCTCTCTGCCTTCGGGCTGTTGCTGACAGATCCAGGGCGCCCACCACACTGCTGCCGCAGCAGCAGCAGCAGCAGCTGCTGCTGCTTCTGCTGCTGCAGCTTCTGCGCCCACTGGGGAGTCAACAGCAGCGGGGGATCGGGCCTGCTCTCGAGCCTTCAGTGCTGCACTCTTAAAGACAATTAATTAAGCCTCTTGGCCAGTCGAGCTGCTGTTTGCTGCAGCAACTGCAGCAATTAAAAAAGCCCATCTAGTCTAATCTGCCTCGAGGGTATCAGCACACGGGGCTCCCAGCCAAAGCCCAATCTTAAAGGCCTTGAGGGCCCCCCCGGGGGGCCCCCAGGGCTCTTTGGGGCCCCCGTGGGGCCCCCGTGGGGGCCCCCAAGAGCCTTGGGGGCCCCTTGGGGGCCCCTTGGGGGCCCCTGGGGGGCCCCTGCTGCACTTCTGCAGCCTTTGCTGCCAATTAAAGACCTTTGCAGCCTCAAATGACTCAAAAGATAATACTAAAATTCATAAGAACAGTTTCAAATCCATATTACCCCCAGGGGGCCCCCTGCACTTTGCTGCTGCCAAGTGGGGCCCCCCCCCAGCTTGCTGCTGCTCTGTGGCTTCGCAGCAGCAAAAGTGCATGCGCTGCCTCCTTAGCTGCTGGCCTAGGAGCAGCAGGAGCTGCTGCAGCTGCTGCAGCTGCTGCAGCAGCTGCAGCAGCAAACCGCAGCAAAGCTCAGAAGCTGTTTAAATAAGAAAGCCTTTTCAAGTTATTTATTAAGAAGTTCAGCAGCAAGGAAGCCACTCGAAGATCTGCTGCGAATTTGCTGCGCCAGCGCCGCTGCTGCTGGGCCGAAGCAGCAGCAAAAGAGCAGCAGCGTCTTGCTGCTGCTTGCTGCACAGCGGAGCCGCAGAGCTGCTGCAGCTTGCTGCTGCTGCGGAGCTCCCTGCTGCTGCTGCAGCACCTTCAGAGGCCCAGGAGAGGGGCCCCTGGGCATAAATAAACTAAAGGGCCTCCTGGCCGTTAGCTGCAAGGCTCCCCAATTCCTTAAGCTGCTGCAGTTCTGAAGCAACTGCAGCAGCAAACTCAGCAGCAGATGCAGCAGCAGATGCAGCAGCAGATGCAGCAGCAGATTCAGCAGAACGCAGCAGCAGCAAAGCAGCACAAAGGGCCCCACTGCCTGCCTCTGTAGGCGCTGGCTGCAGCTGTCTGTGAGCCTCTGAAATGGATTCAAGATCCAAAACAAGTTCAAATGCCCTTCCGGGCCCCTTAAGCTCGAATTAAAAGCAAAAATAATATTTAAATGCATTTTATTTGCCACTTAAGCTCAAATTTAGGACTAAAAAAAAAAAGAGTTCAAGTGGCTTTCTGGGGCCCCTTGAGCTCGCGGCGGTTGTTCGCGTTTTGGCTCTGTGGGGGCCGCTGGCACGTCTTGCTGCCACTCGTTGCGAACTTAATTCCGCATTTTATATTTAATTTATATTTTAATTGAATTTAAAATTAAAAATGATTTAAATGGCGATCAACTGAGTCCTGGCTGGGGTTTCGCCTGCGCCCCAGACTGGGAGTGACTCCCACAGCCCCATAGCCGCGGGGGGCCCCTCAGGGCCCCTCAGGGGCCCCCAGGCCTTCTTCTCTTTCCCCTCGTCTTTATTTTGAAATATTTAAATTGAAAAATACCTTTTTGCAAAAAGACTCTGCCGCATATATCCATTTTCCTTCAGCAGGCAGCACTAGTGCCGCTGGGGGGCCCCTGCTGCAGCAGTCCTCACAGCGAGGCCCTTCACTTCTCACTCAGAGTATTTTATCTCCACACGAGGCCCCCTTCACTCAAGCCTTTAATTCTTTTTATTTATTTGACATCTTAAAGTATCGAGGGCCCGATTGGGCTGCTGCTGGAGGCCGGGATAACTCAGCAGCAGCAGCAGCAGCAGCTGCTGCTGCATCGGTTTGTGCTGAGCAGCAGCAGCAGCAGCAGCAGCAGCAGCAACTGAGTCGTCTTCTTGCACAATGGATTCCTCCGCTGGCCCCTCAATCCTTCCCGCAGGTTCCACAGCCTGTGATGGGGGCAATTCCACTGCAGCGCCGTCAGCGGCAGCAGCAGCAGCGGCAGCAGCAGCAGCGGCAGCAGCAGCAGCAGCGACGGCGGCAGCAGCAGGAGCTGAGATGGCAGCAGTGATCGCACCAGCGGCAGAAACTGCAGCCTCAGCCGGAACTGCAGCAGCAGCAGCAGCAGGAGCTGCAGCAGGACCTGCAGCAGCAGCAGGAGCTGCAGCAGGGCCTGCAGCAGCAGCTGCAGCAGCTGCTGCTGCAGCTCTTGCAGCAACAGCAGCAGCAACATTCCCCCTATCTGGCCTGCTGCTCTTCAACTGGCTCACAGCTCACTTCCGCTGTAGGCTCTTTGCTGACAGCAGCCGCGCCATTCGACTTTTGCCGCAGCAGCTCTTCAGAGTGCATCCCTCGCCTCTCGTGGCGCGGCTCATGCAGCAGCAGCAGCAGCAGCAGCAGCAGAAGCAGCAGCAGCAGCAGCAGCACACGTGCCTTTGTTTGCAGCAAACTGCACTGCAGCAGCAGGCGCCCACAAACCTGGAGGGGGCAGGCCTCTCTAGCCATGGGCAAAACGGCCATCAGGATAAATGCGGCGCGCTGCCCTCTAGCAGCAGCAGCAGCAGCAACAGCAGCAGCAGCAGCAGCAGCAGCAGCAGCAGCAGCAGCAGCTCCTGCGTTTGCGAGTCTTTAAGGGGCTTCCGAGGGGCTGCTTGGAGCTGCGGCCTCGGGGACTCGCCAGAATACTCTGGGGGCCCCGGGGGCCCCCGCTGCTCCCTGGACAGCTTTTGCTGCTCTTGTGCGTTTGCCGTTGCTGTTGCTGCTGCTGCTGCTGCTGTTATATCCTTTGCCTTCTTTTACTACCTGTCTCTTAGCTTTGTCTGTGCCCCTCAATGGACTGACCCTACTGCTTCTGCTGATGCTTTTGCTGTTGCTGCTGCTGCTACTGCTGCTGCTGCTGCTGATCCGGGTGCTGCTGCTGCTGCTGCTGCTGCTGCTGCTCCGGGTGCTACTGCTGCTGCTGCTGCTGCCGCTGCTTCCCCCTGCGCAGCTGTTGCATCTCTGTGTCTGCTGCTGCGCTGCCTCTGAGAACTTGCGCAGACGCATTTGCTGTCTCCCCGGAGGGCACTTGCGATATATTCCCCTTGATGCAGCAGCAGAGCGATGGCAAGCAGCAGCAGCAGCAGCAGCAGCAGCAGCAGCAAGGGCAGCAGCAGCAGGAGCCGCGTGCTGCAGCGGATGGCCTTCTTCCTCCACCTGCAGGGCACGCGAGACTTTCAGTAGACGGCGGCTGTGAAGGGGCTCTTTTGTCGCTGCAGCAGCAGCTGCTTGCTGCTCAGCAGCGGCTTGCTGCTGCAGCAGAGAAGCAGCAGCAGCAACAGCAGCAGCAGCAGCAGCCGCACGGGATGTGCGCTGAAGCCGGCGCTGCTCTTCCCTTTGAGATTCAGGAAAGTTCCCTGGCGGCTGTCAGGGAGCTCTTTTACTTCTTATGGGGCCCCGCAGGTGGGCAGCTCAGTAGATTCTTTGCTGCTGCTGCTGCTGCTGCTGCTGCTGCTGTTGCTGCTGCACATACTGGGGCTGCTGCGCCACACCGTGCTGCTGCCTGCTGTTGCTGCTGAAATGATTGGGTTTTGCTTCTCGTTTGCACTTTCGCGTGTCCGGTTTGTTGGCTTGCTGCTGCTGTTTTGGTGCTTCCTTTTGCTTCAATTTGCTGCTTGCTGCTGCGCTTCTCTCTCGTGCTGCTGCTGCTGCTGCTGCTGCTGCTGTTTGCTGCAGACAGCTGCCTGGCTGTGGACGCAGCAGCCTGCGACTTTGCGCACTGGCGGCTTTCGCTGAACTTCTGCAGCAAATGTCCCAGGGCGAAGCCGCTGGTGCTTGAAGAGGCAATAAACCTCACCCCCAGCAGCAGCAGCAGCAGCAGCAGCAGCAGCAGCAGCAGCAAGGATTCAGGGCCGAGGAGCCACGAACAGGCGGAAGCAGCAGACAGGAGCTTTGCTGCTGTTGCTGCAACTTGCAGGTGCTGCTGCTTGCGCTGCTGCTGCATCCGAGTGCCTCCGGTGGCTCTGGAAGCTGTGGCTCGCGACGACTTCCGCCTCCCCCCAGAGTGCAGCAGCAGCAGCAGCAGCAGCAGCAGCAGCAGCAGCAGCAGCAAGCGGGCTTCTTCTAACCGGCTGCTGCGCTGCACAGAGGTACGGCTGCTGCAGTGCGGGCTGCAGGCCGCAGGGAGGGTCGGCAGCAGCATTTCTTGCAGCATTTGCTTCGTTTTTTTTTGTTTTTTAAATTTAAATTTATTTTTTATTTCTTTTTATTTCTTTTCAGGATTGGAGGTCTCCCGAGCCTTCTAGCGATGATGGCTCGTGGCTTTCAGAGCTGCCCTCTTCTCCCAGCACCCCCCCGCTCTCCCCGCCTGGTGCAGCAGCAGCAGACTCCCCGGAAGCAGCAGCAGCAGATTCCCCGGAAGCAGCAGCAGCCGCAGTCCTGACTCCTCTGCCATCAGCAGCAGCCGCTGCTGCTGCTGCTGACGCTGCAGAGCAGCCAGCAGCCTCCTGCATAGCTGCAGGGGCCCCAGAAGAAAGCAAGGGCAGGAGCAGCAGCAGCAGCAGCAGCAGCAGCAGCCCAGGTGCTGCTGCAGCAGATGCTGCTGTGGCCTCCCTGCTGCGCTGCCTAGCTGCATGCATTCCCCGCGCAGGGGGCCGGGTGACCCCGCTGCTGAATAACAGCAGCTTAGAAGACGCAGGCTGGATTGTGGTTGGGGCCCGCAACAACAGCAGCTTTGAGTTTGCTGCTCAGTCTGCTTCGGCCCGCAGCTTCCTGGCCTTTGCATGCACAGAGCCGTGGGAGGTGCTGCTGCTGCTGCACGCGGCAGCAGCCACAGCAGCAGCCACTGCGCAGCCGTTGCAGGGGTGCGCGGACCTCTGTTGTCCTGCTGCCCCTGCTGCACCTGCTGCTGCTGCTGCTGCTGCTGCTGCTGCTGCTGCTGCTGCTGCCTCTCCGCCTGTGTCCTGTGCGTCTGCGGCTGCTGAAAAGAGCACAGTAGTGCGGCGGCTGGCGTCGCGGCGCGGGGTTTATGAGTTGGTGCTGGGTGGGCGATTTGAGCAGCAGCTGCAGCAGCAGCAGCAGCAGCAGCTGCAGCAGCAGCAGCAGCAGCGGGAGAGCTCAGGCTACGCAGACGCGGAGGAGGTTTGCTTGCCGCTGCCCCTGTGCCTCACTTTGGTGGAAACGGAGCAGCTGCAGAAAGGCAAGGAGTTTCGTGTCTTCGTAGCTGCGGGACTTCCCGTCGGTTCGTCTTATTTTATTTTATTTTATTTTATTTTATTTTATTTTATTTTATTTTATTTTATTTTATTTTATTTTATTTTATCTTATTCCAGCTTTTCTCAAATGCATGTTGGCTATCTGCGCGCAGCAAAGGGCCCCCTGTGCCCGCTGCAGCAGCTCGCCGCCTCTGCTGCTTATTAAAAAATAATGAAAAAAATAAAAAATAATAATTATTATTCATAAGGCGCGGACGGGCTGCAACTTGTCCTTGCCTCTTATGTTGTGGGATGGAATAGTTGCCTGGAGTGTACATGCTGGCGCAGTGTGCCCTGTGGCAAAGCATTTTGGCAGCTAGCTAGCTAGCTAGCTAGCTAGCTAGCTAGCTAGCTAGCTAGCTGGCTATCTGGCTATCTGGCTAGCTGGTTTTAGCTGCTTTGTTAGCTAGCTAGCTAGCTGCATGGGCAGCTAGCCAGCTAGAAAGCCGGCCAGCGACCCGTCCCGGGGCTTTCTTCTGAGTCTGCGTGCAAGTGCAACTTCACAGTCTCCATAGCCTGATCTGGCTTGACGCAGGCCTCTTTGCTGCTGCTGCTGCTGCTGCTGCTGCTCATGTTTGCAGGCGTCAGCCAGCTGTGGCTTGCTGAGTGCCTTCCCGAGCTGTGCAGCAGGACCTCAGTGAGGCGGCGAGTGCGACAGGCCGTGTGGCGTTTCGTGGTGAAGTGCTTCGGCCGCCGCCTGCAGCAGCAGCAGCAGCAGCAACAGCAGCAGCTGCTTCCTCCGCTCTTTGCAGCTGATGTGTACATACACCCCAACACGGACGGCACTGACACGTGCAGGTGAGAGCCCGCTGCGGTGTACATACAGCATCCAAACATAAGCACTGTCCGAACGAGGCTCAAGCCTTGCCTTCACAGAAGTTTAAATGGCCATGCATGCATGCATGCATGCATGCATGCATGCATGAGCGCACTTCGTGGCCAGCTGCGCATGCATACGCATGCATGCGCATGCATGCGCATTCAGGCTGCTACGCCTGAGCCCTTGGGGCTTTCTGACGGACCCGCTTTTGTTTACTTACGAGGAGCTCCGCACTGCCGTGCTAAAGCGCTGCTGCTCAGCCTCAAGATTCTGCGAGGCTTGCCGCGGGGCCCCTCCCCAGTACCCCCCAGGGTCTAGCCTCCCCCAGGGGCCCCAGGGGCCCCCAGGGGGGGCCCCCGGGGCCCCCGGGGCCCCCGCAGGCGGGGGCCCCGAGAGGGACTGCGAGTGCTGGAAAGCCTGCACACTTCGATATGTCCAAGGGACCGACGAAGAGGTTCATGACACTCAGCGCGTCCTGGCGATGCCGCAGGTGCTGCTGAGGGCCTCGAGATGCTGCTGCTGCGCTGCTTGGCGGGGGCCCCTGCTGCTGGTGCTGCTTCTCGGGGCCCCCCGGGCCCTGCTGGGCGCGGGGCTGGGGAGGGTTTGCTGCTGCTGCGCGTCACCGTGGCTGTTGCTGCGCTGCTGCCTGCTCACTGCCTGCCTCTGCCTGTCTTCTCTCTCTGTCTTTTATGTACTCTTCTTAATAAGCTTGCTACCATCAGCCTGATTATCTATATATGTGTATGTGGATCTACATATATATATGTGCTATATATATATATATATATATATATATATATATATATATATATATATATATATATATATATATATATATATTGTACTGTTTGCGTTGAAGTTTATTCATTTCCCCTTATAGGGCCCCAGTCGTTTGTGCTTTTGCTGCTGCCTCTGCTGCAGGACCTGCTGGAGATTGCGAAGGGCGGGAGTAGCTGTGAAGTGGAGCAGATGTTGCTGGACTTGAAGTCAGCGCATATAGACACAATTAAGCAGCAGAGAAAAAGGGATGAACAGCGCAAAAAGAGAAAATAATAATGACGCGAAAAACGCAAATAATGCAGAAGGCAGGGAAACAAAAGCCACGCCAGCGCAGCATAATTCAACTTCTTTTGAGTCACTGACCAACGCATGCATGCATGCCACCGCACGGCTGTGCATGCATGCAAAAGTGCATGCATGTGTTGCGCGAAAGAGGTGGGAGAGGATCCTTTGCAGGGAGAAGACGGGCCTATAGAGCAAGCTTAGCTTTGTGTTCTGGTGTCTGTACACTCCAAGCTGCCCAGCGGGCTGCACCCACAGAAAGAAGCTCCTCTTCTTGCTGTTGGCCCCCAGGCCGGAGAAGGGCCAGGGAATGGCCAGGCAAGGAGCTGCATGCGAGAAGTTCAAGTGCGTCCTGAGGCAGCAGCAGCCCCAGGGCAGTGCAGCGCTGCAAGAGCCCCACAGGGGCTCTTCGTGGGAAAGCTGCCACTGCTTTTGACTGTCTTTTTCCCTTGGTAATCATAAATTGCTTCACTTTGACTCAATGGATTTGCCTGTTGTCAACGCCGCTTGTTACCTGCGGCACAGCTTGCGCTGCCGTTGTGCAGTGGAGAGAGAAGTTGGGACTCTTAGAAGGCAGCAACATATAGAATAGTTGTGCACATAAATATTTCATTATTATTTATAAGCATATGTGCGTTAAAATCGCATTTAATGGTGCGTCCGCCTGCTGTAGAGATGCGCAGCGTGTATACTTACATATGCACATGAATACATGTACACATGTATGTGTATGGATTCACACATAAACAAGTCACAAAATGCCGCTGGAGAAGAGGCCAAGGTGACATATAAGTTGTTGCGAAATTTATCTGAAAGCTTTTGTCTCAGTGAGGCACTAGAGTGGCGCGGAGCTGAGACTGACTCCACAGCTTGCGCGCACTCACACGCTCCTACCTAAACCCTAAACCCTAAACCCTAAACCCTAAACTCTGAACCCTAAACCCTACGCAGCGTGGTGTATGCCACCTACAGGCCCCCGTTGAAGTCCGCTGTACGTACACTTGAGTTACTTTATGCGAAGGTGTATGTACTTCCTTATGAATAGGCCACACAGGGCAGATGTTTGCATGAGTGAGCATTTGTGTACGTGCATACCTACATATATATTCCTGTAACACATACTTCTGCCTTACGTACATGTCTGCATGTATCCCTATAGCATATGACTGCTATAATATATATATTAGTGTGTACACACACCTCTATAGTGTATACTTGTGCCATAAATGCGTTTCTACATATATCCGTCCAACACATACTTGTACTATATTTGTTTGTCCACACATATCCGTACAACATGTACTTTGGTATATTTACGTGTGTATATAAATGCATTAAGTGCATTTGCGTGAGTGCATGCATCTGCTCTCACAAGAGTCAGTGCCCAAGGCAGTCTCACTGGTGAGTGCAAGACGCTCCGTTTACTTTTTCAAGCCAAAATTATCGCCAACAAATAAATGAAACTTGCAGAGGCCTCACCAAGCCACGCTAATGCTGGGTGTGGCTGCGGGAGGCGCTGCGACTTGATGCTGCAGAGCAGCAGCTGCAGCAGCATCGGCAGCAGCAGCTGCTGCTGCAGCATCCGCTCGCGCTGCGGCAGCAACAGAGCCGGCCGCAGCACAGCAGGTCTTTCGGATGCAAAGATCTTTCCCTCTTACTCTCAACGTCATTCATCAATCGAGGTGACCACTGGTCAATCGGGGTGACCACTGGCCCACTGCGCCTCGTGAGACTCCAAACCAGGAAGCCTCAAGCGCTGCTCTAATAGCAGCTAGACTCTGAATAAAACTGTGCTTGGTCTCCCACCTTCATTGCTCTCCACATAGGAAGCGGCAGCTGCAGCTACACGAGGCTGCTGCAGTCAGCTACGAACAGCTGTTGCTATTGTCCACTACGAACAGCTGCTGCTACAGTCCATTATGAGCAGCTGCTGCAGCAGCATCAGCTGCTGCAGCAGCATCAGCTGCTGCAGCAGCATCAGCTGCAGCAGCAGCAGCTGCTCCTCGTTCCCACAGTGCTGCAGCTACTGCTGGGCTGTCACACCTCGGAAACGGCGGAGGGGTGCAGGTCACCAATCGGATTAAATTTGTGCTTCTGCAGCAAAACAAAGAGCAATATGAACAGTAACCATAATAAGGCAAATTTCTCGTTGCTGCAGCTCCTGCAAAAGTGTTTCCCGCCGCTGCTGCTGCTGCTGTGCTACAGCACTAGGTCCTGCAACTCGCTGCTGTTGCTGCTGCTGCTGCTGCTGTGCTACAGCGCTAGGCACTGCTCCTTGCTGCAGCTTAAGATGGCTATAGAAACAGTGTGAGTAAGAAAAAGAAAGTGCTGCTGCTGCCTCACGGTCTTGTTATGCTGCCGTTTGTCTGCCGTGATCAGGGTGACAGCAATGACCGCAGAAACCACAGCCACCATGCCCACAAAGTACCACCCGTCAAACCTGCAACAGCAATCCCCGCAGCAAAAGCAGCAAAAGCACACGCAGCAGCAGAAGGGGGAATACACAAGCCGAGCAGTGTGGGCACAGTCACTTTTTCTGCACCCAGCGCTGTGCCAAAACCGCCGGAAAAGTGCAGCATTCAAAACTAGAGAATAAGGATACTGGTAATTTTATTATATTTTGCTTACCGTCGGCCAAATATAATGGCATCTAACCATAAAGAAATAGGAATCTGGACATTGGAGGCCGCCGTGGCCACCACCGGGTTCAGCAGAAACACTGCACGGCCTGCGACAGCAGAAGACCTAATGCAAAGTCTGTGGATTTAGCTGTTTAATTTTACTCAAAGAGAAAAAAGAGCATGAAAACAGGTTTTAAAATGTGAATTCAGGAACGGAAACCGGAAACGGTGCATGCAGCAGCCAGAGAGGCACAACGACTCGAAACACACGGAACACGCAGCCGATCAAGAGGAATAAGAAGTGAAACTCACAGCAACTGTTGAGAAAAAGAAACAGCAAGTAGTAACACAGCAGCAAACACAGCAGCAAATAATTTCTTGAAGGCTGCTGAGTCCCCACAGAAGCAGAAAGGCAAAAATGATGGCACCCACGAGCAAGCAAATGCTATCACAGCAGCACACAGCGCCACATGCACACACAAGGCCCCCCGTAACCACCGCAGGGAGAGAGGTAGGTATTGGAATAAGATTCATATCCTATATATCGACCTATATTCTATATACAGATCAAGTACGAGCAATAAAAGCAGACCCCAAGAGCTCCCCCACAAGCAGCAGTCCCGCAACAAAACGAACTACCCAGCCACCGGAAGCAGCAACAGTGCGGCTTTCGCTCAGCCCAGCAATGCCTGCTAGCCACGACTGCCACCGAGCTATCCATCCACCCATCTAGCCATGCAGGTAGCCAGCTAGCCGTCCAGTTTGCCAGCAGCTAGCTGGCGAGCTTATCAGCAGCTCGCTAGCTAGCCAGGTGGCTCAGCGAACTGGCCCGAAAGCTGCGGCCCAGCGACTGACCCCAGCAAATGTCCGCGAAAGCCGTGCCCACGAGCCCACAGAGAAGCAGCACTGCCCAGGAGAAGGCATCGGGCCACATGAAGACCTCCAGCTGCAGCAGGTGCAGCAGCAGCGTCAGCAGCGGCAAAGCCACCAAGACCCAAAGTCCCATCAGTCTATAAACCCACCACAAAACAGACCACACACATGCACGAAACGCCGCTGGATCCCAGCAAAAACAACAGGAACTGCACAGCAGCAGCAGCAGCAGCAGCAGCAACAGCAGCAGCAACAGGCGCAAGCAGCAAGAGGCAGCTGAAGAGCGAACCCGTAGATGAGGTCCACATCAAAGTCAGGGTCAAAGTTCTCTTGCGCCTTTAAAGCCGTCGTGTGCAGCGCGTAAGCAGCAGCAGCAAGAAAGGCTAATACATAGCCTAAGAAGGTGTCTGTGGCCCCGTGTTCAGACGCGTACACCATGCCTTCACTGCCGCCTCCTCCTGCTGCTGCTGCTGTTGGTGCTGCTGCTTCTGTCGCTGCTGTTGGTGCTTCTACTAATAGTGGTGCTGCTGCTGGCTGCGGTGGCGGCGCAGCAGCCGCTGCTGCTGCTGCTGCGCTTCCCGGGGTGGCGGCCTGCGCTGCTTCTCCCTCGTTAACAGGCGTCTGTGTTGCAGCAGCAGCAGGCACAGACTGCTGCTGTGTTGTTTCAACAAGTGCCGCCTCTCCAGGCAGAAGAGGGGGCCCCCTTGGGGGCCCCCTTGGGGGCCCCCCAAGGGGCCCCCCCGCAGCTGCAAACCCTCCTTGGGGCCCCTCGAGGCCCCCCGCCTGGGTCTCCGGGCCCCCAGAAACAGCCGCTGCCCCTACAAGGGCAGTTTTGAGTTCATCTGCGGGGCCTTTATTACCTTCTTGAGGAGACAATGGAAGTTCCTTTTGGGGGCTAGCAGCTGCTGCCACCGCCGCCGCTGCTGCTGCTGCTGCTGCTGCTGCTGCTGCTGGTCCTGGTGATTCTGCAGCGAGCGTTGTTGACCCTGGCGCTCCTTCTGAGAGTGCCACAGCAGCCTGTGCTGCTGTTGCTGGTCCCGCTGCTGCTGGTGTTGTTGCTGCCTCTGGCACTGCTGCTGGGGTTTCTGCTGCAGCTATATCCGTTGCTGCTGGCGCTGCTGCTTCTGCTGCTGGCACTGACATCACACCGACGATGCCTTCACTGGAGAGTTGAGGCAGTTCCAGAGCATTCGGCTGCTGCAGCTGCTGCAGCTGCTGCAGCTGCTGCAGCTGCTGCGCTGGATTTGGTTGAGCTACCTGAGTCGCTGCTGCTGCTGCGGCAGCAGCAGCAGCAGCAGCTGCTGCTGCTGCAGCGCGCGCGGCGTCTGTTTCCGGCGCTGTGGGCACGTGGGAGGAAATCAAAGCCACCCCAGCAGCCAAGACCAGCAGCCAGGAGAGCACTGCCTTCCTCGGACTTTGCTTTAAAAAGAAAACAGCAAGAAAATAAGACAAAAAAACTGAAGTGCTCTGCACGACGGAGTTCGAGGTCAAGGTCAG